GATGAACCTTCTGCATATACGTACTTCCCCGCGAGGAACTCACAACGCCAGTCATTTTCCCTCCTTTGAACGTGTTGTCGCACATGCACGTCAGACACTCAGCTCTTTGCGCCGACAACGTAAATAACTTCTCTGGCAGCGTGACCAACTTTCAGCACTACCGCTTGTTAGTGCACAGGTTTGTTGGTGGTCAATTAATTGAGGACGGTCAAGCCTCAGAAATGTTGCTAACAATGTCCATCTTACATCTTTAAAAGAAATATTAGCTTGTGGCGGACGTTTAAAGGACTAAAGGAATACTCGAACGCTTTCGCGGAAAGTTAAGAAAAACCACACGAAATTGCAAAAATCGCAAAAAAAAAAAAAAAAAAAAAAAAAGTTCCATTTTTGAAAAGGTTGTTACCGTACAGGGAATAGTAAATAAGCTTGGAACGGTTTTCGCACGCTCCAATGTCGCACAACTTTTTGTTCTCTTTGCCACGCGTGTTCCAGACTCGATGAACGAAACCCATGTGAAAAATGCCAATCGAAAATTGGACAATATTTAGAAATTCCAGACTTGTTTTATGTTATTTTGCGAAAACGAGCGCATTAATTGCACCCAAAGCTGATATATAAACTCATTCCAATCATGTCCGCGACTTCCATACACCACATAGCAACGCATGAATGGTTCCTTTTTGCAAAAACAATATATATTAATTTTTTAGCGCAGTGTTCCTTGCAACCTCTGGTTTTTTTTTTTGTTTTTTTTTGTATATGTGTAGATCATACGGGTAGAAACGGAGGTACAGGGTGAGATGAGAGATAGCGGGGACGACGAAACCCCGAGCTATGGTTGGAATAATTAGTCGGTAGACATAAAACTACCCCTATAAAATGATTTTTGACTTTTTATTGAAAACGTATGGACTTCTTGTTGACTCTGATTACTTTCTTTTGACCTTGACTTTCTGTTTACCATGTCAACAGAAAGTTTGTTGACTTTGTGTTGAAACTTTTCTGGTGATTTTCTTCAGCCTCAGTCAAAAGAAAAGCTGTTGAATTTCTATTAACTTTATGTTGACTTTTTCCTGTTGACTTTCTGTTGACATGGTCAACAGAAAGTTTGTTGAATTTCTGCTGGCAATCTTATTATCGCTTCCAGCCAGTGGATGGCGATCTTATTATCGCTGCCAGCCAGTGAATGGCGCCATACGCCGATGAGGACGCCAACCAACAAATCACCAAGCGAGATCCAAAACACGATCAGTCGTGCCCTACGTGCCGGTGACTATACTGGTGATCTTCATCGCGTGAGTTTGAACCGGTTTTCACGGAATTGTCTTTTGACCGCCAGGCCACCTGATTATCTGATTCGAAAAAGAAAGGTGATCAACGAGCCTGCCATCAGGGCTTTCCTTTTCTAGCCGCTAAATAGCGTCGATTTCGCCGAAGTCGCCGATAAGATAAGATAAGATAAGTTCATTTGATTTCAGAAAAAAACTCTCATACAATCCAGCCCGCTTAAGCGTAGGTACGTTTGTATGCGGGACATGGCAGTACAAATATTTTCATCATGTAGACACAAATGATGATTAAGTGTAAGTAAAACATGAAAAAAACATTCAAAATAACACAGTAAAAAACGGATTTTACAAGTAGAAATTTCACTTGTGAAGAAACGCCGCGTTCGACAATAGCAATCAATCAATGGTTACAAAAGGAACATTGCGAATTTAAACACATAATAACAACAGTCCACACGTATATAACGAGATACACTCGATAAAGAACACAAAACTTTTACGCAATACCTCAATGTTCAGCATTTTAGTTCGACAAAAAACACCACTCTTTTATTTTTTTATACATCTGCCTCTTATATGACAGGCTTAGGATGCTATTAAATATTGCAGGAACATAATAGTTTCTAGTTTTTTCCCGTAGTTTGCATATATTTTTGCAATTGCATATATTTCTGTGTGCCGGAGTGTTTTTATCCTGTTGGGTATTTCTTTGAATTCCTCCCAAAAATAATGGCTGGTTAAAACGACAAATTTAAAAACATTTTCAAACGATAATAGTCCGACTGCATTCTTCCTTTCCTTGGTTTCCTTCAGTTCATGTTTTGACCCATATACTATACTGCTAACACATCTATTAATGACACTATCAAATTTTGTTGCTTATATTTAGGATATGTTCTATATATAGTAATTCCGTAACGTATCACAGATTCATGTACCTATCATTGGGGGCCCCCCATGACAGGTACACTTCACGCCTCAGATTGACGTCGCATCCACTTTTAAGTATACACAAATATGCAGAAACAACGCGAAGCCTTTGTATGACATGATCAATAAAATTCCTCCATAAAACGTTTTTGTCGAATTCAAATCAAGGTAGGGTGTTGTTTTAACAGTATCCATTTTTTCGCAGTCGCACTGATCACAATGTTGATCATGAAGGAATATGGGAACATCAAACGGAACTTGTTTATAAGGGTTTCGGAAATCCACGAGTTTAGTTTTCTTGCGATTGACAAAAATACAATTGTTTTTGAACCAGCTCATTAATTGTGCTATATCTTTTTTGAAATATAGGAGCAGCGAGATTGTATTGTTCGTGTGGTAATATTAATGCAGTATCATCTGCGTATTGAAATAAATTTGATTTAAATTTAGGTGACCTATGTCAATTATATATATGTTGAAGAGTAAATGACCTAGTGTAGATCCTTGTGGAGCACCGAAATTCATTTTAATTTGATCACTTGTTTGACCGTTAAGCTTCCCCATTTGAAATCTGTTCGTAAAGCAACTTTTGAGAACGGTATGAAATGGTCCTCGAAAACCCATTCTCTGCAGCTTTGCCAACATGACTGAATGATCTATGGTATCAAAGGCTCGGGATAGGTCAAGAAACAGTGCGATAGCGATTTGATTATTGTCCAAAGCCTTATAAATCATATCCGAAAAATTTTCCATCAGCAAAGTCGTGTTTTTTTTTTTTTCGAAACCCGTATTGTGTTGAGAGTATTAAAGAATATTTGTCGCAGAATGTCGTCATCACTTTTGCTAAATACTTTTTCATGATGTGTGTCATGGCTGGAAGTATGGCTATTGGTCTGTAATTTGTTAGTTCTTTTTTAGAACCTTTTTTTGTGTACTGGCCTTATGATAGACAATTTCATCCCGTCTGGAATATTTCCGCTTTCAAATATGCCATCGAGAATTGAAAGCAAAACACCTTTTAGGTTACAGAAGTTACAGTAAAAATCCCGCACTCTTATTAGGTCATGTGCAGCTGGCTTGAATAAAGACATACTAGAAAGTTTTTTTTCCGGATCGTACTTCGTCATCAAAAGTAAAAACGCTGAATTTACATTAGTTCTGATATCGACAGGAATCTCATTGTTTTTATTTATCATGGTTCTTAAATTTTGTACAGAATCAATAAACGCATGGTTAAATGAGTTCGCAAGGACTCGAAAATTTGTTGTTTCTCCAAAGCTTTTTCCAATTAGTCGTCAACGTTTTGTTTAGCCTTTCTACCTGATAACTGCCGTGTTAGTTGCCATATTCTTCGTGAATTTCCCTTGCAGTCTTTGAACTCCTCCAGGTAATATTTCTTTTTTTGCTAGTCGTATCGTATCCGCTACTTTATTTCTCCTTTTTCTGAATTCCTCTTTACAAAGTACATTATCCGGGTTTTTTCTACATCTTGCCCAAAGCTCGAGTTTGAAATAGAAGAGTTTCATTATGTAATTATCGATCCATACGTTTCTATCTTTTCTTGTTTTTTTAGTTTTTTTGTTCTTTTTGAGTTAGAATAAATTTCTTGGAATTTTTCAACTAGTCGCGTATATGTAGCGATGTGATCACTTTCAATAAGCTGGTTCCAATCGAACCCTTGCATTAATTTGTCGATATTTTTTTTATCAAAATAATTATATTATCATCTTCGGCCCGCGAGTTTTCAAAGATCTTCTCTTGCAGTAGTGTTGTAACTACAAAGTAACGATCTGCAACCTTTTGCTTGATCACCCCAGCTAGCGTTCTCAATTCACTTACTCGAACTATAATATGATCAATCCAACTCAGGGTGTGCAAACACCACTTCAATGGAGCTGCGTAGTGTCATCGCTTCCTCCGACGCTGCAAAGGGAGCCGGTACGTTGGGGATTGATCTTGTCATGCGAAGGCTATGAATGAGGTTGCACTACTCGATTTTAACAACTCTTTGCACATGCCTAAGCCCGGCCAATCAGGAGGGTCAGCTGTATCGTAAATAAATGTTTGTCCAGCCTGAGTACTAATTATAGTGGCAGTGCTGTCAACCCGACGGAAATTTAACAGATTAAAGTAATAATCAGGACAATGTGGGAATACGGGAAATTTCTCCAGCTGGAGGGAAATTTTGTCACCGTTTAAATCTGAACATTTTTAAGCCAAATATAATTTTTATTTTCGTGGTAACATTGCGTTTTAGTGGCTTTGGCTACATTTGGGCTATTCCCTCTATCAGTTTGGCGGTTCGTTGTGCGACCTAGGGCCACTAAATAAGCTAAGCTTCAGAGTAACGATACTTACCCATCTTGTGGTTTAAAACCATGGCTGCAGTTATCTGAAGCTTTATTTGAAGTCGCAGGAAAGGCTTTTTCGCCATCCTCAAATGTTTAAACAGCAACAGACGAAAGCAATATTGCATGAGCTTGCTAACACCAAATTTAATGCTCAGAAAGTCGCACATCTGAAATATGACGATCGGCTGTTGCGTCTGCTCTGCACAAGCACCTTGGTGGCGGCGCCCACAGCAGTATCGGGAAACGGAGTGCCGATACTCTAACAGCCGAATTCATAAACGGGCCTCGACTCGAACTCGACTCAAACTCGACTCGAAACTCCACTTGAGGCCGGTTTTGCGCTTCATAAACCGACCTCCACTCCAAACGCTCCTCGACTCGAGGAAATACTCGACTCTTTCCTCGAAAATCTCAAGGTAGGTCCGGCGCTTCCTCGAGCAGCTCCTCGAAACTCGAGTCGGTCCCAGGAGGTAATGGCGGCCGACAGATCGTTCTGCGACTTCGTGGATTTCGTCCTTAGAGCAGAAGAAATCCTTTACGACCACCAAGATGAGAGTGTCCCAGTGCCGCGGCGTCGTTTGAGGGACCGGCTGAACCCTCTGGAGGTGTTCAACGACCGCGAATTTCTCGCGCGCTACCGCTTCACCAAAGCGACAGTGGCAAGCCTCCTGGAGTCCCTGTCGCTAGAGGAGTGCGCGAGCAATCGCGGTCTGCCGGTCCCTCCAATGCTTCAGCTTCTCATCGCGCTGAGATTCTACGGCGCTGGGACATTCCAGGTCGTCACCGGCGACCTCGTCGCCGTGTCGCAGCCGACAGTGTGTCGGGTTGTCGAGCGGGTGTCGCGACTCATCGCCGGCACCCTGTTCCGACGACTCGTGAAGTTCCCCAGCACCGCGACGGACTTCGATCGCGTGATGCTAGAGTTTTATGCTCTGAAGAAGTTTCCCGGAGTGACTGGGTGCATTGATTGTACTCACGTTAGGATCAAGGGGCCTGGTGGTCCCGATGGCGAAGTCTACCGTAACAGAAAAGGGTACTTTTCCATCAACGTGCAAGTAAGTTCATTTTTGCTTGTGCTCTTACCGTAAAACAAATAAATAAAGAGAATGGTGACATTATAAAACACAGCATAGTAAAAAAAAAAATAATAATAATAATAATAAATAAAGTCCGAACGGCGTTCCACTTGTGATGTGAAGGCAGGGAAATATGGCACAGTAAAAGTAAATTCCTTTCACATAGCCAACAGTAAATAATTAATGAAAAAAGACATCCCTACAACATAAAACTTGTATATTTAATAATCTATATTGTGTCTTAACTCGAGTGGTGTGGCTTACAAACCAAGGATTGTGTTACTTCTACAGAGAAATGAGAACCATATGGTGCTTACACCAAGGAATGTGATAATCGTTCAAGCTAATGGGTGGTCGAGCAATCATCTACTGGATCTCTGATAACAAGGAATGAGGCCTTGCCATGCTTCGTTATATTTGCATGACATAGTCAGGGCACTAACTATTGTGTCATTAACTCCTCATTTGCAAAGCTGGCAACTGCACTTACTCGCTGAGTATACCATAAAATCCCGAGATAGACCATCTAACTTCAAGAGCATATCGGCTGAAAATATGGAGTGGGCTAACTTTCAATGCGACATCAAGAAAAGTTTTAAAAAATTGTCAATATTAGGTCGTATCCCTTCCAAGCTTGTTATGGTGGCAAGGGGCAACGAAGTAAAGATGACTGTACTTCCCAGCCAGCAACGTTCTGAGGCCATCATTGATCCCAACACTACTATTACTAGGAGTGGGCTATCCTTCGGTGGTTCAAGCCAGAAATAGGGGTAGGGCATCTCTCCGGATTTTACGGTATCTGGATCTAAAAATGTGTCTGTTTTGATACCACGCCAGCCTGCTCATCCCAATGCTGTTCCTTTCCCCCCCTCAGGCCATCACGGGACCCCAGCTCCAGTTCTACGACATCGTGGCCAGCTGGCCAGGCTCCGTGCACGACAGTCGGATCTTTGACAACAGTCGTGCACGGGTCCTGTACGAGCACCAGCGTGTACCCGGGGTACTGCTGGGAGATGCAGGCTATGCCTGCACCACCTACCTCATGACTCCACTGGCCACTCCAGGGGCAGCCAAAAGTCCAGAGGAAAGGTATGCACTACACTGCTGGAAGAAATCATGAGATTTAAAGCTAACCCAAAATTGATGTATCAGCTGCACTTACAATTCCATCTTTTCATTTTGTTTCCGCAAACTTATCTGTACAATTGGTTTATGAAAACAGACCCAGACGTTAATCGTTTTCTTGTCTGCATGTGATTGTCACATCTTTGGCAAATCGGATGGCAAGCGCACAGTGCTCGACAACATTGTCGCTCAGTGGAACTGGTCAGTGTTGCTTCTTGGTGTTTGTTGCCAAAGTGGGACTATGGCTTAGTGTTCCACTCTAGCAGACAATAATGTAGGAAGCATCCCCCAACAACACACCATACACAAAGCCGTAGCCTCCGGAAAGAAGCAGTGCCAAAATGCAGCTCGCAGAAAGGGTCCATACCGTATGGCATACCCGTATCACCCGGACTGATGCTTTGAGTTACCTTATGCAACTCTGAAAGCGCAAAGAGACATTAACCGCCCACAGGAGAGAGCTGTGTGTCTATATCTAGAGCAACATTATCCTACTCGGTACTTTCTGCCAAGAACATTGGTCAGAGCATTTATCAGCGATAGACCGCTATACAAATCAGTGTCGCATTTTCTACCTAAAAACTACTGTATCGCTTCAATGTGAAGCAACAATGTATATAGTAACTGACAAGGTGAGAACAGCAGGGAGGAGTTTCAGTTGTCCCAACTCCAGCTTCAGTGTCTTACCCTAGCCAGCATTGTAGCATCTCGTGCACCTTGGACACACACACACAGCCAAAGCACATTGCAAGGCGTAGAGCACATGCAAGAAGCCAGGCGTTCAAAAGACACACCCTGCCGTTCTCACTCTGTCGGTGGTTGCAGCAGTAGAGAGATCTCTGATAGTTCATCATTCTTCTCACGTAGGTACCAAAAGGCCCACATCCGGACCAGGAACTCGGTGGAGCGGGCCTTTGGTGTGTGGAAAAGGCGGTTTCCGTGCCTCGACATGCGGTTGCAGCACAAGCCTGAACGGTCAGCCGTGATAATCACGGCTTGTGCTGCACTGCACAACTTGGCCCGCCTGCGGAATGAGCCGTGTCCCCCACCTATGCCCACTCCACCAGTTCCCCCTCAACGACGTCGGAGGCAGCCCCACCTGCCACAGACTCCGGACCCCGTGGACACCATCAACGGGGCATGGAAACGGGCACAGATTATTTCTAGGAGTTTTACATACTAGGCGCATTGTGAAAACAACAGCAATGTAGCCAGAATTTTGTTAGTGTGTGGGGGGAGGGAGGGGGGTTGGCTAGGGAGAGATGGGCATAAAGAACCGGGGGAAAGGGGGAAGGTTTTAAGCCGAGCATCGACTATTTCAATGTCGACCGTCAAAATATTTCTCAAATTATTTTGACAACTGTGACGTCACTTCCGTAAAACATCAAAATAGTGGCTTTATTATTTCGACGTCTGCCTTCAGTGCCGCTGTCGAAGGGTGGAAGCTGTTTCGTGGTTTCATTTTGTTTAGCTTCTGATGGTGTTGTCAGTGTTGTGTGGACGTTTTGACGGATTTGTGTGTTGTCTTTACTTTTGCATGGAAGTTTGCCAGGCATCTGACGGTAGACATGTGAACCTTTTCTTGAAGGGCACATGCTCCCTATTTTGTACAGATTTTTTGTGTGGAATAAACCTGTTCTTAAAGATGCTTGAAACCTTATCTTGCAACTGGGTTCACACCTGAAGGGCTTTAGGTTAGAATGCATAATGCAACAACGCAGCGATACCTTGGGAGGACACTCTCAGTTGTTGCTGGTCAAGGGCGTCCCAACAGTATTAAACAATGTGAACGTGCAGGGCCGCTGCACTTCAATGCTGGTGGTGTCGCACTACTTTTCAGTGGGAGTAATTGAGCACATCAGGTTTTGGCTGGGACTATGCAATTAATATATCAGTATGTAGTCGGCTGCAAGCTTGGGCCCAATTGCTGCACTGGCACTTTGCAGTGGGCCACAAAAAGGCAGTGAGCAAACCTTGGCTAGTCAAGATGGTGTTGACTTTATTCTGGGTGGTGGCATAAGTCCATATAGGGTTTATGGCACGAATGTTTTGACAGTAAATGGGACACGTCTGAATTCAATGATGGTTCACAACATTTAATTCACAAGACAGCATGCACAAATCACACAATAATAAAACCAACATGGCAATAGAACAATGGTAAAGTGCTGGCAACATCTGTTTGTACATAAGAAAAAAATATATTGCTACGCTTCCTCCAGGGGGGCCGGTGGCAGTATGTGTTAAAGCATCACAGCTTGGAGTATGTGGATAGACACTTATTGGGGCCGACTAACTTCCCCCTGCCTGAACACTTGCATCATAATTACTTCCTCTCTTAAAAAATCGGCGTAAAGAAAGAAACAAAATACTGGGCTACCTCCTTTTCTTTGAGAGAATGCATCGAAAGTTGATGCAACTGCCCTTTTGTATAGAAAGTTCACTACAAATGATTATTACACCACCAAGTTAAAAAAAGGAAAAAAGAAAGAAGACTTTACTAAACAGGGACAAAATGAACGAATTAATACCCTTTAAAAAACCAACCATACACAAAAAGAAAGTGAAACTTAATGTAATAAACTAAAATGCAACGCTAAAAAAAATCCACCTAATCTTGTGTTTTTGCTTCGAGAGCAAGCAGCTGTTGCAGCTTAATTCGCTTGTCGAGCTGGAGCAGCTCAAGTTCCAGCTCGATACGCTGCTGCTGGCCACGAAGCAGCTGCACCTGCAACTGGTGCAGCTCCTCCTTGCGCAGCTCCTCCCTCTCCAGGGCGGCCACACGGGCATTCGTTTCTGGAGCCAACATCGCCTCAAAAGCTGCGACGCGGCCTACAGCCGGTTTCGCTCGGGGGGCCACACGGGTCGGTTGAGGAGACGGAGGGTTTGGGGGCCTGGGTGGCGATGCAGCAAATGCCGGCTCCATGCTGTCACCCCAGTCCAGTGGTGGCGATGCAGGCGAAGCGGGCAAGGCAGGAGAATCTGGACAGGCACAACACATAGATGCTGTGAGTGTTACAGGCAGGGGGTAGATACGAGAGAATGTGAACCCATTATGGAAATGTTGAATGCCAGCTGCTGGTGTAATCTGCTTGAGGGATCCTGTTCTGTACCTCTTCCAGTGTTGTGGCTAGTTCATAGTTGCATTATTACACCATTTATCTTCATTGGCTTGGTTACGGATGGTGGTCCTAAACAATGAAGCTTTCCACAGTGAATGATGCGAAGGCTAACAGAGTCAAACTGGTATACAGTGCAAACTGGACTCCAGCCGTGTCTACATAAAGGCGACTTAGGCGCATCGAATCCAGTCACCGTATGAAGTGTCATTATGAACACAGCATATGCATTTGGGATGAGCATCGCATTCAAGCTACTAGGCAGAGCTAGCTGGAGATACAAAGCGCGCATTCTAACAGCTAACGTAAACAGCTTGAGTTACATTTTGTGACAAGGAGGATTATGGGAAGGTGCCCGCTGCGCAACTGCTACATTCATTGTAGGGGCGGGTGATATTCGTTGACCCATAATCCCAGTTTTATTCCTATAAACAGCTCACCAAAAATGAAACACCAAATAAACGGAAGAACATCAGCAGTTTTCTCAGAAATAAACACAACAAAATAGGCAGCCTAGTAGTAACTAACCTCTAAACCGATTTCTATATCTACAGTCACGCAGAAACTAAATAGCTCCAAGCGAGCTGGCGTTCTTCCTTTTCAATAAGACCACGCTTAGAAGACGCGGTTGATAACAGCATTTCCTTTGCGTTGATGGGCTCCCCCCTGTTTGCTTCACATGGACGAGTCCTGACGTCGGCATTAGTATGGAGGAAAACCGCCAGGAGAGCGCTCCTCAGAAAACAAATGCTTGCTCGCTTGGAGCTATTTAGTTTCTGCATGGCAAATGCAGTCATAAGTCAAAACTTTTACCCGGCATCATGTCCAAGTTGGCGCGCTGGTCAACCATTGCTTCCAGCATGGCAGCCGGCGGCAGTGACAGCACCGGCTGGTCAGCATGGGCACAGTCGCTGTCGTGCGGGTTTCCCAGCCGTGTCGCCATGTGGGACGCCAGTGCCCCCACAAGCTGGAGGGAAGGGCTCATGGGCCGGCAGGTACGGGGGCCCCCTCCTGCGGCGTACATTATGTGACAGCATCCATGAGCTAAGATGTACAGGGCACAACACAGAAAGGACAAGGAATCATGCCACAACTAAGCCAGTAAAATTTGTAGTTTGACACTAAACTGCAAGAATAAAAAGTGATGACATAATGATTGTGCTGTTTCACAATCTGTATAGAAAATGCTACAGAGGTTCAATGTGATCAACTACAGCCATGTTACGAACATACATAAGTTTTCAAATAAATTGATCCCAGCTTAGCATGCCAGCACAAATCAATGGTTGACCTCACTGTTTACAAGTAACTGCTTACAGTCTATCTAAAAGTTTCACAGAGAGTTTTATTTTCACTAATCTTTCTCTGGTTTCGGTGACACCAGAATTCGCAGCGCCAGTATGGTGTCCTGCATGACGGTCGGCTGCTGCACAAAGTCGCAGTTGAACAACAAAAAAGAGGAGAGCAAGCTTGCGGACTCCCATTTTTTTCAAGATTCCGAGAGCCTGAACACACGAGTGCGAGAAAGCACGGTCACTCTCCGTGAGAAGGCAATGCAAATGACTTGTGTGAATCAACCTGAATGTTTTTGACGAAGACAAGTGTGTTCAAGGTACTTCGCCTCGGGTGAGCGTTGGCACCATTTGCTTTCGTCGGACATTAGCAGCAAGATTTCCACAAAGCTTCGCCCATCGCCCGTCGCTGCTGCTCATTGCGACTTGCATCGCTTGCTTGTTGTTTCGACGGACCGAGTGACAGGGGGTCCTGTCGCGTCGCTTTGTCTGGAAGAATCACTTATATCTGGTTCATACTTTAGAGCTAGTTGCTAGTCGGTCACAATAAAAAAACATGCTTAAGAAACTCGAATGTGAGCTTATCGCAGGAGCGCCAGAAAACCAACATCGAAAGAAATCTCCGCTTCCGAGTTTATTCCTGTCGCTTTCTAGTTACCACTGCTCAGGCAAAAAGAGTCACACTCTCACTGCACTCCCCTATGGCTCTTTTTTTCATTCCTTCCAAGCTCGAGACAAGATCCGCTGTCGCTCGGTCCATCGAAAACTACATGTGACACACGTCGCAATGAGCAGCAGTGACAGGCAACGTTTTGTGGAAATCTTACTGCTGATGTCCGACAAAACAAATGGTGCCGACACTTACCCGGGACGAAGTGCCTTGAAAACATTGGTACTTGTCGACACCTTCTCGGTCGATGCGCGCAAGCCATTCGCATTGAGGTACCGTGCTTTCCCACACTCGTGTGTTCGGACTCTCAGAATCTTAAAGTAACGGGGAGTTTGCAGGCTTGCTTTCCTCCAGTTTCTTCAATTGCAACTTGGTGCGGCAGTCAACCATCACGCACGACACCATACTGGCGCTGCAAATTCCGGTTTCAAAGAATTTGGGGAAAGATTTGTGGTGTAGTGCGGCTGGTCCTGGTGCAGCTGTCAAGGGTACAAAGATGGCGATGTACCCAGAACGCACCCCACGAAACCTGCGCATAAGCCGCAGGTGAATACTCCTTATAATGGCTGTTCCTAGATCGTCACAGTTAAGAAATGAGAGATGACATACAATTAAACCAGCAACATGCAAAAAACAAGCTTGGCACAAAAAAAAACAAACAAGAGCATCCATAAAGATTGCCTGCTTGGCTCAATTCATGTAACGTGTACTATAGTGCCAGTTTTGTGCACCGGTTTTTATTTACACATTCAGATTGCTTCTCTAAATCAGCTCAAGACAAAGTCGAAACTCGGGTTAGGGTGGTGTAGCTCAACCATAATGCTCAGTGTAATGGTCGCTTAAATGTTGCACAACACAAAAACGCAGGTTGTCGATGTCAGCACAAGCACCAGATAGAGCGACAAAGTATTCTCCTGCGGACGTCGCAGGTGGCCACATAAAATTCCTCTGCAGAGTTATTTAAGCAGACACATCGTGTCATGATTCTGCGAACGCACTGCGTTATTTTGCCGAAAGTAGAAATGAACCACATACCTGTTGCGTGGATGTCGCGCTTCTCCTCCGAGTCACTTTTTTTCCATCTGGATTTAGCGTTATCCCAACACTTTTTTAGTTGTTTAACGTCCCTTGGACAGACATTCGGCTGGCAGTTATACTCAGTGCAGAGTTTTTCCCATGCTTCAAGTTTAGCCTCTTTCGAGGAGTTGTTAGTTCTTTTATCTTCTATAACTTTCCAGTATTTTTGAACAAGTGCTCGGAGGAGATCGCGCTCCTCCCTCGTGTAGACAATCCTTCCTTCGTTCGCGGATTGCTTAGGCATCGTTGGAAAACACTGTGGGACTGTGGTTGCTCTGAAGAAAGAAGAAGGGTGGAAGATAATCGTTAGACGTCAAAAGCAAGACAGTCGGGCAGATACGAACCTTTCTTTAGGCGACCGAAGCAAAGACGGAAGGCTGGGCGGCTGGGCGAGGCTGGCGAGGCGCGGAAAACAGAAGTCGCGGGCGCCGCTGTTGCCAGACTGGAGAACGCTTGTTGCTGTTATCGGCTACAACGCATAAAACATTCGCGCTTCGAAGAAAAGCTCTTGCAAACTCGCACTGCAATGCTATTAAAATGTTTCCCTTCCAACAAGATGAACTAATATGTTCATATTTCACACCACAATAATGTTTTCAACTTAACTTTTTACTACAACCTCGTAACCAGACGCCTGTCACGTCTCCTCGAGTTGCCTCGAGTGGAGGAGGGTTTCTCGAGGAGCTCCTCACTCGAGGAAACGCCGAGGCGCGTCTCTGCAGCCCAATGGCTCCTCGAGTGGAGGCGCGCTTCTTTCCTCCACTCCACTGAGTCGAGGTGGAGGTTCGAGTGGAGGCCCGTTCAAGAATACGGCTGTAAGCGTAGATCATTTAGTTGCTCTATTGCGACCATCTGGCAACACTGAGGAGCACTCGAACACTTTTTGTCGGCAAAATCAGTTTTCATCGCCGCCGTGAAAACTAATGGAGGAAGCGACCAGTCAACTCGAAGCTTCTGAGAGCGCCACTGTGCCTTCTCGGAAAAGTAAGCTTGAGTACGACAAAAAATGCTGCGATGTCTGGAGATACAGACAGCATGTCCAAGATACAGACTTACTATGACAAATAATATTTTGTCAAGTGCCGTGCACGAAATGGTGCTTACTATGTGTAGTGTTCAAGTGTTCGAGAACTTTAGCTTGTGTTACGGCTTTTGTTTTGGACTGACCATTATGAAAAACACCACAGAAGTTATTAAAGCAGTATACCGTGTTGTGATGTCCTTCATAACATCTGAGGCGAAGATAGGGTTACATTTGTCAGTTTAGTTCTCCCGGTAACACTTCCCCTCGCATTATTTATTTCAGCTATACTCTTTCGCATAATAAACTCATTTGCGAAATGTACGCGAGGCGTAAAGGCTCGATAATATATCTCTGATTCGTAAAAATGAAAGCGATGCAGGAAACAACTAATATTTAGTATCACGTAATTATTCGGGCAAGGGAGGTAAATTTCGGTAGAAATAGGGTAATTGGAGGCGTCCACAAGGGAAATTCTAACTTCCCCTGTTGGCAGCCCTGCTATGTGGGAAGGACACCTTTTTTGTAGGAATTTGCGATTAGTGGTACGAATTGTATGGCACTGCATCACTCACAGCCTTCACAGTGCAAAGGAAACCTTCGGTATACCGGAGCTCTTTACAATGCCGAAGCTAGGCATGGCCATTCGCTATTTGATTTGAAGCGATATTCAGACAACCCTATTTTGTGGTCACGGAGAGCACGGGACCATTGGGGTGCAAGAGAAGCTCCCTCTTCTCATTGGATGAACTGAATGAAGAAGTACAGATGATCGGTGTTTCAAGTGCTTTGTGGCGCGGCACGCATGCAGGAAACTCCGAGAGTGTGGAATCACATTGCACAGGAAAGGAACATCGACGGAAGGCAGTCGTTTGTCGCGCCGATTATGCGAACGGGCCCATGACGCCGCGATGGCCGAGTACATGTTTCGCCGTCCGTGTCGTTCGACCCCACTGCCGGCCGCAAGCACGCCACGGGGCATTATTTTTAGCGTGGTGACGCAAGGCCGAATCGATGGAAACGTCGCATTTCACTCCTCCAATCAAGGCAGGACCTAGATGCAGACTTTTGCCAGGTGTGTTCTGTTTTAAACCGGGGTCACACTGCTCATGCCAGCATACAAAAAACAGTCTGCAAACATCAGTCACTGCGATATCTGTTGTTCGAATGCCGGGTGCCAAGTTTCTCCTTGAACTCGCTGCCATGCGGCATTTGAATTACGGATCTCGCGGTGACTTGCGTTCGAATATGTTTCCAGACTGTCTTTTGTGGGATGTATAAGCAGTGTGAGTGCGGCTATAGGGCTCCTAACGAGATGAAAACACTAGCTAGCGCTACGAGCTCGAGCCGAGTCACGACACATTGTGTGCTCTTTCAAAAACAGGAAATGATTGGGCGGTAAAACGTCTGATTTGTCATTAATCAGCAAAGGCGTGTAGAGGCGCCCTACCTTGCTTGCGTTACCGATATGTAAGAGCGCAGCAGATGTGGCGAGCCGGTCGTAACGAACAAATAGCGTCAAAACCGCAATGTCAGGTCTTCACCCTTCCTCTGTGCCATTCCTCTAGCACAATCAGTCAAGCGAAGTGAATGCACTGCGACTTTTAAGTCTGTTCGTGTATCGTCTAGCAATTTTCTTCGCTTTTTTTTTGTAAATGAGAGAAAGTATAGGCTGTTGGCGCGATAGCGTTACGGAGCACATGTCGAAGAAAAGCCGGCGTCGGTGGCGTGTCACCAAAATCCTGATTGGTCGATAGACTCGTGACGTCACAGACACGTGACCTCGCTCGGAAATTTCAAACAACATAAAACGCTCACGTGAAACAGGGCGTCAGGTTGGAATGAAAGTGATTAAAACATGCCATGTAATGCGCATGAAAGGTCGCCGCATGTCTTAAATTATTTCACTTAATCAAGTAGTTCATTTTCCTTAAACAAAATTTGAAGAATTTTAGGCGGGGCTCGGACCCACGATTCTTCGGCTGGGAGCCAGACACACTACTGACTTGACCACGCAAAGAACGCTTGTCGCGTTCCACTCTTTGGACCGGTTGCACCAACGTCGCTTACCTTAAACCAAAGCGGCTCTTTCCTAAGTCGGCTTAGCGTCCTAAACCGAGCTCAGATAAGCAGGGGTTTAAACTCCGGTTGCACCAACGTTAACTCGGCTTTACAGACGCGCCCCTAGCTAAACGCTGGATTTGCCTAGAGAATGTAGGGACAAACAGAGCGAACTAGGGAACACTCAGAGGGACGAATACACTCTAAGAAAAAAGTTGGCCTCAAGGGACTAACGGCAGCATTTGGTCCTCTCAGCTCCCAGTTGCTCCCCGAAAGGACCATCTGGCTCAAGATATAGGTACCGTGCGCAAAAGCTGGGGACTAACTGCGCTCGACTGGGACCAACCGATAGGCGTGCGCGAGCAAAAGTATCCATTAGTCCCCCTCAGACAGGGTGCATCTGTATGATCTAGTCCCCGAATGCAAACGGAATGTTCGCCAGGAGGACGGATGCTATTTCGCTTGTCTTGGGGATCGGCGAGACTCAGCCCAGCACGGCTGAAAGTGTTGACAAAACTCGAACGAAACTGGCGAATTCGTTCAATGTGCCACGCACGTTAAGACATTGCATGGTAGAGCTTCACGCGTTGTGTGAATGCGAGTCAACAAATGTGTTGACTCGACTTCACCCAACTATCTCGTCAAAAATGATCTGTTGACATTCCACAAGTCCCATTTACGTAATTTGCCTTCGCGCAAAAAATATGCATTTATCCAAACGCAACACCTCCAAATAATAACACTTTTTTTTTTCTTTTAAAAATGAAACTTAACAGTTTGTAGAAGCCACGCTTTTAACACCGGAGTCTCGCAGTCAGAATAAATGGTCACTTCAATCGCTAAAACTGAGCATTGCCACCGGCGATATAAGCAGTCGCGCGATGCGACTAGATTGCATCGCAAAAAAAATTAGATGGACACACCGGCGTGTGCGGTAAGCGAGTCCAACGCCTTCGTTGGCGAATCGTTTCTCGAAAACTCTCGCTCCGAACGCCGTTGATTGGCTGAGCCGCTCCGCAACTAGATCGCATCGCAAAAAAGTCGAGTCGAGAAGCGACTGCTCCAATCGCGTTGCTTTTTGCCCGCGATGGTCGCTTTTGCGATGAAAGTTATCGCGCGACTATATCGCCGGTGGGAACGCGCCTCCGTCTCTGTGTGACAAACCTTTCTGGGTAGTCCAATGTCGAACTCAAACTCCGCACTGACACACTTGATGCACGGCACATTCCACTTAAAGAGCACATTCAGGGACAGTATCCAGACGCCTTCATGCCATCGTCGTCGCTGTTTCCAAAACAATCCAGATGAACAACGAAGAACGAACCACGCCCGGAACGTCACACCTGGCAGCACCCAACTAATACAAAACAAATGCAAACTAAAAAAAAAAAAAAGAAAAGTTACTTGCGGAAGCTGAAAATGCTTAAGAGAGAGAGAGAAAAGAAAGAAAAAAAAAAGTGTTTGCTTGAGGTGACTCGACCGGCGTGTTGAAAGTGGCGACCGTATCCCGTCCTTGGAGCTCTTCGGTGTCCTTGTGTCGTGTGTAGTGGGAGCGGGAAAAGAGATTATCTTCTGCGCGCACTGCCCCCTCCCCCAATCCCCTACCCCCCCATTCCTTGCTACTTGTACACGCGGGGGGTTGGGCGTTGGTCAGATGGGGTCCGTCGGGAAAATGGGAAGTGTCTTTGTTTGAAAAGAACCTGTTTTTAGTAAGTTGACAGTCGAAATACAGCCTTCGTCGGAGGCATGGTCGCCTTGTGTCGTCTCCGATCATGCCGGGATCGGGTTTGGATTCGCGGTACTGAAGCACTGCACTTGATCTGTTCTGACGTCACAAGCCAAGGGAACTCGATTAAGGTATGTCGAAGTGCTTCTGTTTATGGTGTATTTATTAACTGCGGCTTCAGAAAGTGTTTTATTTTGAGCGCGTTCTCTAGCTTGCAAAGCGCGCGCCATGCTATATTCTTTTTGGCACCATGGTTGCTGATTTTGTTATGCAGCAGAGAGACGTCATATTCAATCGTATCGAGCGAAACGCCAGTTCTACCTATGGCTTATTTTGTGTGTGTGTGTGTGTTTCGCAGACCCTGGCAGGATCGCTTGACCATAAACGCCTGTCCAAACATGCAGCGGAGCGCTACAGGCATAGCGCTGACCTTGCGCTAAGCGCGTGCTGGCGTGATCGGTCACCAGCTTTGTATCGCACCGACAAAACTCATGCTCATGGCAAACGAAAAGTAGCTCATGACACGTGAGCAGCGCTACATCAGTGCTTCGCTGCTTGTGAGAACCGGCATTAACGGAGACATTTATTCGATTGTACACTAGACTTTCGC